CCCCCCTCCCTTCTCCTCCTCCTCCTCCGCCTGGAACAACAGATCACTTGGGCATCGAGTTTATGGGTAAGGAAGCTTCTCTCATCTCGCGTCTGCATGAGTCACAAATGTAAACATCACATGGCTCCGTGCTGTTGTGATGTGCGGTTGCTTACATGTAGCGCACGCATCGCTAATGACACCCAGCACATGTCATACGTGGTCGTGCTTAATCACACATGGCATCATTATATCATGTGAAGTGGAAACAACAGAGCTGTGTGTTCACATATTCACCCTCCTCCTCCTCCTCCTCGTCCTCCTCCTCCTCCTCTGCACACGCCGCACTGTATATCTTTTAAATATTAGCTATTGTCTTTATCTCTCTACACATTTGCTTTCTGCACCATCTCCGTCTTTATGTTTTCTTTCTCTCGCGCGCTCTCCCTCGCTTTCTCTCTCTCTTTCTCGATTGCCTGTGAAGTGTCCCCTCAGAATACCAATGTGCTGCAGTCTCCTTGGAAACAGTGAGAGCGGCGGGGAAGGCAGCGTACAGTGAGGGAGTTTTTATGCTGTTGGCACCGTTTCCGAACGCACTCCTCATTAGTGCGTCGCCTATGCGCTCACATGCGTGGCACAAGCTCAAAAGCGTGTTACCAAAGTCCTTAACTTTCTACTTAAAGGGAGTTGGATGAGATTCTTCCAGCGATTGTGGGTCAGATGTTTGTGTGTTTCCCGTGCACACGCCTGTGCAGGGTGGAGGCTCGTCCTCGTCGTTGCCAGGCTCCTCTCTCACCCCCCCCCCTCGTGTTCGAGGCTCTGTTTGGTATCACAGCCGAGGAGCACTAGTCGACGACATGGAAGCTCTCACTGGCTCACTGGGTGGAATCCGGGCCCTTCTCCACACGGACATTGTAGGAAAGCGATGGATCATCCGGGAAAATGGCCGTCATCACTGCCTCAATGTTCTCAAAGTAAAATTTCACAGGAGCCAGAAGTGCAGCGTTTATTTCCCCGCCGCTGCTTCTGCACTCACACGAACAAAAGCTCCTTTTTTTTGCTGAGACTATGCAAACTTGGCAGTGACAGATGATCTTTTCCGCCGAGCTATCTCTCAGGTTTTCAAAATTTATATTCACTGAGAGGTTTTATGCCTCTGCAACATTGTTCAGGCTGCCACATTTTCTTTGCCTGGCTAACGTATCCGGTCGTGCCAACGTCTTCCCCTGCTTTGTGTTAAGCCGTGCACAGATAGATAAGCACATCCCACACTCGGCCCGGGTTTGTCGATGTCTGTGACTTTGGAAGCTTGTTCTCCTGGAAAAAAGGATAAGAATCCAAATGCACTCGAACAAAAACGCAGAAACACTGACAATGTTCTATTATAGATGTTTGTCAAGAGTAAATATAACTTAATATATATTGTGGTTCCCTTGTGGAAAAGTGCAATCTTTAATTTCAGGCCTTGAGATCAGGACTTCCAGTTTCTGTGAGGAACCTCGTCCTCCATCGTCTGAGTCAGAGACTCTGATGACAGCACATTTGTAAATAGGTACTTGTGAACATTGTGAATATATTTAAAACACTGAACACAACGTTAGCAGCCAACACGACTTATTGAGAGAAATCCAACACAGACGATAAAATCATCACCATCGACAACAGTGTAGTACAACAGCACCATCTATAACCTCAGTGTATATAACTGGACTGAATGAGAACTTATACGTTTGCACAGTAGACACACTGTTCCACAGCCGGTCCAGTGGTTTATAGACAACTAACCATCCCCCTTCAACAGAGTCAGTATCTGGGGTTAAAATTAGAAATAAGAAGTCAGTGTATTAAGGCTGAGATCTCCTCACCCAGGATTTCCAGGTTTTATTAAACTGAGCATATATATATTCAAAGAATCTTGGATCGTGACTTCTTCTTTCCACATGTTTCCGGCCGCTCCCTGTATCGAGTCTCAGTGTCTCTGTCAGTTAGTTGTCTGCACATCAATATTTCTTTCCCATCAGAGATCACTGAACTCTGACTGGAAAATGTTCCACCTGCTTGTAAATCAATGTGAGAGCAAAGTGTTACAGGCAGCTGTTTTTGAGACGGGATGGATTTTAAGTCATGTTGATATTTTATTTTCTGTCCAGAGGGTTCAAGGTGCGTTTGAGCCGAAAGGAGTTATGGCAAAATTACAGAGCAAAGAAAGATGCGAGGTGCACACTTTGTGTTATTAGATCTAAAGAATACTTACAGCTGTCACCGACGTAAACTGTGCAGAGCCGCTTCACACTCATTGTACTGTGGTGCTCTATTGTTCCGTGTTGAAGCTCCAGAGCAACTTCAGAATTATTCCTTGTCATTAGTCGGTCGTCCTCGAACTCTCCTACAATATCCTGTCACTCTTTATTGTTTGTGTGCAGAGCGAAGTTAGAAAACTTTGTGTTCATCCTACCTGGTTTATCTGCACTGCGGCACGTCAACCGGAGTCTGTTTTTTTTTTTTCCAGAGGTCTGTTAAACGATCGGCACAATCCTCAGACCCAAGGTCACAACTTTTCAAAATAAAGGCTCTCTAATTTAACCCCATGTAAAGCATTGCAGCAACGAAACAGAACCGTCATGCTTTTACTTTGTAGACAAATTGCTGAAGAGGAGCAATGTTGTTGCCGAGACAACCGTGCAAGTCAGACATGTTGAGATAAATATTATCTGATTATCTGAATGATATGGAAGTGATGTCGACATAAGTATGTGGACGATGAGACGGAAGGTTCTAGAGAGATGTGTGGAACATTTCTTAGCATGTGGAGGTTGAAAAAGTTTTCATCTCATTCTGACTTTGACAACTTGGGAACTGAGATGCATCATGACTGTGAAACAACAGGTCTTTGCTGCTGAGAGAGGAGAGAGAACCAGGGAGGAGAGGAGAAGACATTCAGACGCAACGCAGATTCAGAGGCAGACACTCTGTCGTGTCTTCTCCGAGATAACGTTTCAATCAAAAAGTCTTACAACTCCCATCTTTTTTTATTTTCCAGAGATTTTCTGTGAATGAGTTTTGGATTCCTTTGGGTCACAGCTTTGTTCTTTTGTAATAATCTGGTGCTGCCGACGCGTAGACGTCATTCCTCTGCAAACAGGTGCAGAACAACAAGGTGAGCGTGGGACGACGAGCCCTTGTCCAGGTCCGGAGATGTTTGAGAGCAATTTCTGTGAAATCAAAAGAAAGTTTAATATTTCGACTTGTCTGTGAGGATTGTCTGTCATCCAGGTCACGGTTACACAAGACGGATTGAATTGAGGGCAGCTGGACTCGGTTGTAGACACTTGAAAATGTTTCACGTCTAAGAGGATTCAGAGTGAAGGAGCCTCTCGGGTCAGAGGTGGAACTCCTCCAAGTGTCCACAGCCGAGTCCAGCTGTCCTAGATTCAACTTGTTTGCTTCAATTTCATAATTTGTACTTCATTCAATTCACGAAAAATAATCTCTGGATTTTTGAAAAGATTAAAAGATCTTTGAGGGGAAATTCAGTTGTTGAAAAAGACGTAAAACACGATACAAAACTTTCTAAACTAGATAAAACTTTCAAGGTGAAGTTAGAAATCAGATTTGATAAAAAGACGATTCAATAAATGGCATTAAAGCCTTTTGTGTCATTCCGGCTTTTTTTATCCCAGATCACAAAACAACAAACGGTTTTAAGTCAAATTTCCTGAGATTTCCAGAAACCTGGAGGAGACTCTGATGGTGAAATATCTGAAATGTGATGTAATGTGTAAACACAAGCCTGCAGGTCGGGCGGGTACAGGTGGGCTAATCCCAACACACAACAACACACAATGGTCTCAGACCGCGGAGCCAGAGAGAATATGTGGAAAGAAAAAGAAAGAAAGAAGATTACCAGCACAAACAATCGCCCCATTCAGCCACCTGATATATTCAGTATGTAAATGGGGAAATAAAGCCATCGGAATAATAGCGTAAAGGACCATGACCAGCCAAGAGAGCATGCTTACTCTAGCACAGCAGACCTGCATAAATAAAGGTTTCGTCCGCCCCCAGCAGTCTGCGCTCCACACATGAAAAGTCTAATGCTGCTGTGAGGCAGTCACTGGAGAATCCCGTCCCTGTGATCTCGCCTTGCACTTGTTATGTCATTCCTCTTCTCCGTCTTTCCCTGTCAATCGCAGCTGCCTTCAGCACCGAGAGGAGATTTTATTCACAGAGCTGGTGGTGATGTGCAAGTGTTTTACTACACACACACACACACACACACACACACACTGACCTGTTATGAGAGTCGACCTGCAAATATTTCCCTGAATGTACGACACCAACAGGACACGGCTCTCTACACTACGAGTTGTAACTGACGCTTTAAAGTCAACTGTGCTATTTCTGATTCTGCAAAAACATTTTACTGAGCTGTTTCTCTCCCTGTCAACTAATATTTCTCTCTGTAAGTTTTTACAGTACATTATTTAGAAAATGTTAAAGGTCAAGATTGTCACTGAGCACAAGAAAATAAGAAAACATCACCTCAAATGGAAAATATACAAATGAAACATATATGATATAAGTAAAAGATAAATATAAAGTAGAAAATAAAGTTATAAAGTAAATAAGTTGAGGTAACGAGGATGTTAAGAGCAGACGAAAGCACTTAATCGAATGTTAGTGAAAGTGTACAATAGAAAATATGAATAATGGATATTACCCACCTTATGTAAGTACATATAAAATATAAACATACATGTATAACACAGTTTAATGAGACGTAAGGAATTTTTATATTGTCGGTGTAAAGAGAGAAAGACGTGATCACATCAGAACTTGAAACGTCATTGATCTGTGAATATGCTGATTTGCAGATTAAGATTCAAACGATCTTTGGTTTATATGTTTTTGTGACGCGGTCATTCAACACCGACCTCTTCAGTCTCCTCCCATCATTCACCCAAACTGCCACCATGACGGCCTCGAGTCGATTCCAACGCGCTGCCACTACACATTAAACTTTATTGCCCTTAAAAAGGCCAATGTTTAATTCATAATTGTACAAATGCAACACAATTTATTCCTTAATCAAATATTTGCAGCAGACCTTGACAGTGTCAGAGCCTGCCAGAGGTCTGACTCATCCATATGTCCCGAGCTCACCCTGCCTGGTGCTGCCGGGATGCGTTATGAAAAATAACCTCTTACATGTTTTAATGGATGATTTAAATCCATAATTATGATAATGAATGGATGATTCTGAAACCCAGCAGCTAGAATAATGTCAGACTATGAGCCAGACTCCACCAGAATCTCCGGCTGGGCGTCAAGGTCACGTATTCTCGTGCAGGGACACAGTTGTGACAGTTTTGCCGGCGTCCGTACACCCGAGGGACACGCCTCCAAAACGCCTCCTCGGCCTGTGGCGAGACTTTGGTCACCTCCCTTTATGTCGGAGTTTCTGCGTCTGCTCTGTCTGTGGTAATAGATTACTATTTAAGTTTTTATCTCTGCACTTCAGTAAATACACAGAAAGACAAAACAATTGAGAATTTATGTTTTTTGTAATATTGGGTGAATTTAAATATTAAGTACAACTGTTTTTTAGGAGTTTATATCTCTATCAGTACGAAAAATACACAGAAATACTTCAACTTTGCGTGTTTTGGGGTATTTGGGATTTTTTACTTTGACTGATTCCTGTATTTATGTTAATATATGAGAAATAAATTATTATACAACCTCCTAAAATGTAGAGGGGTTAAATAAAGTACTGAAAATGTTTAATTCGTCCAAAATTACAAGAACGCATCTCGTCAATAATCAACTGAGAATCAAATAAAACGTCCAAACAGTTTTGAAGAAAGTGAAAAAGAAATTCTGGATCCAAAATTCGTCATCACAGAAATCGCTTGACCTTTTTTTTTTTTGCGTAATCCTGCGAATAAATAAACGCAGATGAAAACACAAAAAATATGATTTAAAATGAGTTAGTACCAAACCTTTAATGTTCTCTGACCCGTGGATGAATGCAGCTGTCTTGGCACAAGTTCTCTTTTATCAGCGACGTGTGATTTAGAGACACCGAAGGAGTTGCCGTCGTGTTGTGTCAGCACGTCAGCGAGTAATGTTTTTATATGTTTGGGCAGAATGTCAAGAAATAAGAGTCATAAATATCACGCTCAAGGTAATTAAGTCCACAGGCTTTGATCTTGATTGTATATTAGGCTGCTTCGAGGGTGTTTCAACACTTATTCCCTCACTTATCGATTTGTCTGTATGGGAACATGGCTGCAGACTGTAAACACATTCTGAACGTGTAAGATTCCACACGTAGGAAAAGGTCACAGCTCCGCCTCTGTATCGCTGCTGCGGCTCTCAGTGAAATATTACTCATATGCTCTGTAATGCAGCTGTAAATAAGTGACCAGCGCTGCATGTGTGGGGCAGAACTGGAGGTTTGAAGTGGAACATGCGACCTCGGCGCCCCACACGTGGAACATGAACACGCTCTGACTCTCTGGAGACGTATGATTTATTCACATCGAGTGCAAACAGCAGGTGCATGTGTGCAAACAATGAACGATGTTACATATCTCCGATGCCTTTTATTTAACGTTTTCCCACTGACTCTTGTGCAGTAAATTCTGTCTTTGTGTTTACGATGACTGAGCATTTTATTAGGAACAAGTTTGCACCTGCTTATTTATGCAATTACAAGCTGATCACGTAGCCGCAACGAAAGATTGTGCAAAGAAAAGGTCCGGAGCTCCGTTTAATCGTTTCATCTTCAGGATCTCAGTGACTTTGACCTCGGCGTGTTTGCAGGACCTGGTGGAAGCTTAGAACTAAAGTTTTTACTCTGAATGGTCCCAAAAACAGTTTTGTGAAAGTATGAGAGCAGTTAGTAACTCGGAGAGCAGGTAATTCCTGTATATCCACAAGACTAGAAATACACACGAGTACTTATTTAATGACATGTCAAGTTATGTGAACGTATGAAGGTACACCTTGATAATTAGAAATCATGGTGAGAAAAAAAGCCTCTCTGAATGAACGTTGAGCTGCGATTGGAAAACCAAACCAGACGTCCATTTGAGATTCCACTGCCGTCGGCCAAGAACGGAAATCTGAGGCTGCGGCGACACAGTCTCACCAAAGCTGCACGGATGAAAGAAAAAAGCAGCCTGGCCGGAGGAATGTGGATTTCTGTTGGAGCTGCAGATGGTGGAGTCAGAATCTGGCGTCGGATGCTTGAATCCAAGGAGCCAACCTGTCTAGTGTGAACGGTCCAGACTGGTGGTGGTGGGATGTTGTGGGGAAATCATGTGATGCAGAGGGAGGCTCTATCTGGATTATTATGCTGTTGAAGTGCTCTGTGTGTATGTACGTGCGCTTAGTGTGTGATTATTTATGACTCTCGCCAAATCATCGAATCCTGAAAACCATCCGTCATGTGATTCTCTTCCCAGTGTCAATCCAACACATCTTCCACGTCAGCCGACCACGAAGACACTTGAAGTGTTGTTATTCGGCGGCGACGTAAATTGCACTTGGATGAGAACTTTTTATCTGCACTCGGCTGCTCCAGCTGTTTTTCTTCCATCATCTTCCTCCGTACGTTCGAGCAGCACTCTGACACATCTGCCAAATTAAATAAAGAACCATTGTTTATGAATTCCCTCCAGAACGACAGCATCTTCTGATGATGGGCTTCTATTGTGAGGATGCTTCATTTGTCAATGTCCTCCACATAAATCACTGTTCAGAGCGCTAACGGGCGGAGACGGAGGTACGTTGGGCATCGAATAGGACTCGGTCATGGAAACATGATCAGCTTGTGGTTGTGGTTTGTGTCTTGAGGTCTTGAAGATTTTATTTTAGACTCATATGAGCCCTTATTTATATAATTAAAAAAACAGGGTAACTGTTAGTTAGACGAATTTTGTTTTACTGTCATCCTGTGAAAACTTTTCATAACTTTCAGCCACATCTTATGGTTTTCATCCAAACTTTGCTTGATCCAGTGTTTTGTGCTGATCCAGTGTTTTGTGCTGATAACGACTGAGACACAGTGAAAAACTCCAGCTGATAAACAGACTTTAATATTATTCAGTCCTGTTTACAAGCTCAACATGAACTCTGGCTCCTGACAGCTGTATGTGGAGGCTCGCCTGGCTCTGGAGAGAGCTCTTTAGGTCTGAGGAATTAACCCTGGTGGGTTCGGGTTATCTGGAATGGACTCGCCGACTAAATAACTGTGAAATGAGGTTTTAAAGACGTCAGCACTTATCAGGCAAGAAGTTCTAATGAGCAGATTCTATTGGTTCTATTATGGATAATGATCATGACCCGGAGTGACCCACAGCGCACTAAATTCAAATTTAAAATATGTCCGCCTTCTCTGCTCACCCACTTTCTTCCTGATTCGTGTGAGTCTCTATTGAAGTGCAGTATTAACTCGCAGGAGTGATGGTTAATAATGTAAAGAGCTCGGTCTAGACCTGCTCTATATGAAATGTGCCCTGAGATAACCTCTGCTACCATTTCAAAATCCACCTCGCTTGACTTGATCATTTCCTCATTAAAGTAAAACGATTTGCCAAAGAAGATGCAAAATACCCAATGTGCACTGAAACCCAATGATCTGCATCATGTTGGTGACTGTGAGTCAAAAGAGGTTAAAAAGATCTGCAGCAGCACATCAGCTCTCGTTATCGTCCGAGTCGGTGTATCGGGAAAAAAAGAGAGAAAAAAGCAGAATCTCTGCATCCTCACAACATCCCACCTCCCTGCTGCCCCTCCTCCTGATCCCCGTCTCTCCGCCTCGCCTGCAGCCGACCTCAGCGTGCTCTCACAGGACAACCCCCAGCTCCCTCTAATGATATAATTACAGCCGATGAGCCAATGTGATGACTCAGGCTGATTAGCGGCATCAAAACAACGCTGGCCCACATAAGTTAGACATGAAGCGAGAGAAACGTGGCAGCTGTTGTTCCAGGTATAATGGACGATACACTGCACGTTTGATTGCTGCAGCTTGTGATCAAGAGATCCCTGGTTTCTCCAACAGGCCTGAAAATCTTGACGTGGCTGTGGATACGTGACGCTCAGGACGCTGCTCCATGGCCATAAGGAGCTTGCGGTTGTATCCTGCCGTGATTTTCGGAGCCGTGGTTGAGAACTTCATCTTCTCTGCACTAACGTGGCTGTTGAAAACCATCCCCAGCAAAAGAATAATAATAATTTGTTTCAATTACCTCGACGTAGAACCCGAACACCTTGTGTCATCGTCATGCTTTTCCAAGGTCTGAGCGACGCTTAATAAAACTTTGATTGATCGCCTATTAATGCACGTGAAGGCAACTATGATTTACTTGTAGCAAACAAGACAGCTTCCATTTTTCTCCTCTAATGGCGTCCGTCCGCACCATAACTCTTCTTGTCTCCATGTGTTCGAGCTCCATTACATGTGGCATCCATTTCAACAGCAGTCGGTGTCCACCGGACCATTACTCGATGTGGTGGAGCTGATAAAATGAGCTGTAACTAAGAATAGCAGGTGCTGCTGGAGAATTGTAAATAGCTGTTTGTGAATTGAGTATTATCTTGCTTGTTTTATTCGGTGTATTTATCACAAAGTCATTACATTTATACAGGAAAGAATCTGCAAGTCGAAGAAACCTCTGAGAGCTGTTGCACTGCAGCTGGTTGTTTAATGAAATTTAAACGGCTGTTTGGGTGCTGTGAATGTGGACGAGTACAAATCTCAAAACTCTGTTTAATTCTGTGTAATGGTGGGATTGCGATATATTATTTACTCTAATTCACACAGATGTAGAAAAGCCCACGTTTCTCTTCCTCCCTCTTTCTCCTCTCCTCCCACGTCTCTCAAACACATGTTGACAGATATGTACCTGATCTACGACTTTATTTCCCAGGAGTTTGTTGTTCAAATATTAATATGACTCCTTCCTCTGTTTTGTTTCCCCACAGAGAGCAAAGAGGTGTACAAGAGACAGGTGCTGTCAATCACATTCATCGCTATGACGATCAGCCTCCTGGGAACGCTGTGTATGGCCCTCTACTGCCGCAACAAGTGAGATGATACAGAAAAATATATGTTCCACATCCAAACCCCTGGTTTATGTGGTAAGGACTAAGGTTGGGTTCAGGTTCAGGTTGGGTTCAGTTTAAGGTAAGGGCTAAGGTTGGGTTCAG